TGTTACTCCCAACTACATGAAATTAGTGAATCTAGTATGCATTGTTCAAACGGAATAATGATATTCATCAGACAAGTATCAGATTACGCTAGTTTTTTTTTTGGGTAATGTATCAAAATATTCTAGTCCTCCAGTCGAACAGAAACTAATGACTTGGGTCCGGTTTTAAACTTCCGAAACTTTGTTGAAACTACTACAACTCACACTGAGAAGTAAACTGTTATATTGAGTTGATGAATTTCAAAACTTGCTAAATAATACTAGTGCAGCCTGATCTGTTTAAATAGCAATGTCTCATCACCTCTTTACCATCTCGCTACAATTGTCTAAAAATTTCATCATTATGTTTCACTCATATAGAAATCGTGACAGAAAATGTATTACTTTTGACTCACTCAGATCAATATTTTCTACATCAACCACTAAACCAAACAATGTGTTTCTTTTCTTCTAATGTCAAACGAGCATTCATTACAAATCAACAACGAAAGTATGAAGAAATATGTCTTCTAAATGCTTTTGTCTAAGATTTATTCTAAAATCTCCTCACTGTTAGTATTGAGAAAGTATTAGCACTGATTATATAGTTGATAAAAATAAAATAAAAAACTTACAAGTTCAACCAGACGAGAGAAAAGAAAAATGAGAAAGCTTATGCGTATTTATATGCCTTATGGTGTATGAACTTAGAGAATTACGCCATTATTGTGCACAATAGCGCATATATAACAATGATCATACCATATGTAGAATAAAGAGATTGTGGACAAATGATCACACCGTATAGAAGACAAAGTGTAAGATGACTAAGATAATGAAATGATAGCAGAGTTATCGAGGGTTATCTCGATAATAGAAAAAACAGCTTATTTTGATAAGGTTACGAACTTAACAGGTATACTAGTCTGTGTTGCAAAATGACTGGCCATTTTCTCATGAATTGCACAACCATAGACTATCATATAAGCAAGAAGATTGTGGAGTTAGAGCAAAAAGAAGGAGATAGTAGTCTATCTTAACGTTGTTCCTCTCCTTCTTTCTTATCAGTACAGTAACGACAAGAAGTCTTTTTTTTACCTCTCTTCATTCTTGCTAACTGCCTTCTGTATATCGTCGCACTACTCCAAACCGTGGCCTCACCTAACCAAAAGCTCCTGGTTGTTATAACTGGCGCCTCATCCGGCATTGGCGAAGCATGTGCTAAAGCATTCTACGATGCTGGACACCCTCTCTTGCTTGTTGCTCGTCGACTCGATCGTCTGCACGCGTTGAACATGACACGCAATGTTATCTGTGCTCAAGTCGACGTTACGAACAGAGCTCAACTCAAAGAAGCTATCGATGATGCCGTACAGAAATACGGTCCAGTCGACTGTTTGATCAATAATGCTGGTGTCATGCTACTCGGCAAGGTGCAAACACAAAATCCAGACGAATGGCAACGCATGTTTGACACAAATCTTATGGGCGTTCTGAATGGTATCCATGCTGTACTACCATCGATGGGTAAGTAGCGCATGGGCAACACCAAACGAAGATAACCATGATAAATCTATTGTTTTTTTTTTGTACTGATCTTTTCAGTGGCTCGTCGTGGTGGGACGATTGTCAATGTGAGTTCACTTGGAGGTCGCAAGACTTTTTCAAATTATGCCGTATATTGCGCGACAAAGTTTGGTGTCCATGCAATCACGGAACAGACTCGTGAAGAAGTGTCTCAGTACGATGTTCGTGTGATTAACATTGCACCAGGAGCTGTCGAAACAGAAATATTAAATCATTCGACCGACAAGGAAATCGTCGAAAACTGCAAAGCGCTAAAGAAATACATAGGGCAACCACTTACCACCGAAGACACGGCAAGATGTGTGATGTTTGCATATCAACAACCCCAACGTATATGCATCCGAGAAATAGTCGTTTGTCCAACTGGACAAGGCCCATAAACACTCGCATACTTACTTTGGCTCAACGATTTTTCTATAATTTTCACATTATGTAATTGAGATTTTCATAACGATCAAAATAAAAATTGCGTGTGAAGTTTAAGTGTGAGTGTGAGTCTTTGCATGGGTGTAGATGTGAGTGCTGCAGTAGTAGTCGATGGGAAGAGGGGAAGGAAAATGGATTGGGGTTTCGGAGGTGTGATTGAAGAGAACATCAACATTCACACGGACACCCTAAATGAATTGATGTGAAATAGGGCTTTTTACATATGTTCTTGAAAATGTGTATCATGTTTGTAACACAAAGGCATTTGAATTAAGTAGTAGGTTTTCATTGAATAGCAACACAGAAATCCTCAATCGTCATTGAAATATGATGTGTTTTCGTTAAAATGTCTGTTCAAGAGCTAAGTGATTAGTGTGAAAACATTATTGAAACAATTTATTAACTCACATTAGAATAGTTCTGCTTTGAATATTCATAGCTAGTTTTCTTGGATTGCATACAACTTTCTGTTGTTTTGATTTTCCACCTAATTTTTGGAAGCTTTTGGGATTGCATAACGTAACTTACATGATTTCTTAATAGCAATTGGTGGTTTTTACGAGTTTGTTTCATATTACTTGGATGACTCAAGTCACTTTGAAAGGCCTATCGTTGATGCTAGTTCGACTCGTATCAGAAAGAAAAGGTTGATAGCTTATGAATACTTTTTCTGTCAATTGTTTTACAATAGATGTTTGAGACATGTGATAACTTTTGTAATTAAATAACTAACCAGCCAACATATACTATTTGTAACTATTGAATTTTTTCAGAATTTCTACACTTTTTTTGTCAATAGAGAGAGTTTTTCTACATATTTTTTATGTAATAGACGCATATAACACAGAATGGACATATGGACTCAAATCTTAGAAAAAAAAACATCAACTCATCTTTATTCATGTCAACATTGTTGAGTTCGTAGACCTTACGAAATATATTCCGATTGAAGTCATCTTATAAACTCTGAAAAAATGTTATAGGTGCTTCTCTCAACTCAATAATTGAATCACTGCATTTATGTCTCAAAATAAAAGGTAGGTTATCATTTTTCGAATAACTTTTGCGAGAAACAAAATTGAGAGCTACGATTTTCATCATTGAAAAGAGAAGATGAAGATGCATCGAGCTATACATGAAAACATTTTTCTGACTACTTTTCTAACAGTTTTACATAAAGACTCTAGAAAAACAGCATGCTTCTCATAATCGCGATATTAATTTATTGGCTTTCTGGAGTGGGCTAGAACCAACAAATGAAGAGCTACAAAACTATATAAAAATCCTATACCTAACCACTACTAGTAGAATATCCTAGCCACTGGAATGCAATTTACTATCCAATTTTTTCAACAAAATAAATAAAAAATTTAAATTTTTGTAGTTTTTTTGAGGAAAAATCACTTGTTTTTAACATATAAAAAAAAGGAATTTTTTGAAAATATTTGACTCAAACTGTTAGGAACGTATTCAGAAAATGTTTTTATACATGGTTCGATGTATCTTCATCTTCTCTTGCCAATAGTGCAAACTGCAGCTCTCTAGCTCAATCCGTTCAAAAATTATTCAAAAAATATTCAACCGTCTTTGTTTTAAAATGGATATTAGTTACATAAACTATAACAAAACTCTTATCGATACCTATTTCCCACTCTAATTGTCGATGCATATGTCAGTTCGTTTCCTACGGATATCAATGATACAATGAATTTTCTCGATAATATTGATTCATATATCCTTCATTTGATCATTATCACCTTCATCAGTTTGTACTGCATCTCTTAGAACGCTCTTTTTCAATAAATGAGAATTCATTAGAATTCAATACGTTTTTGATCGATTTAGTTGGAGAAAGACAATGAAATCAATTATAAATGTTTGGTGATCGTAAGATTCGATTGTCGAATTGATTTTCCCTTGTCCTTCAATCATTTTCATTTATCGTACATTGATGAATTATAGTTTGTGTACAATACAGATCAAATCCTTTCAATGTCATCAAATATCTCCTAAGAAATCGATTTGAATGGAACTCAGTTCGATTGAGATCATAGAAAAATTAATCCTAAAAAATTCAAGCTCATAAATGCGAGAGACATCCGTTTATCGTAAATCAATCGTATACGAACTTTCATTTCAGTTCAGATTAGCCGTAATCGAATTGTGCTTCTCGTTACGATCTTGTTAAACATCGCACAAGAAAACTAATCGGTTATTTCCGTGATTTATCATGCTCTCCACATGCTTGCCGACAACCAAATACTATAATCAGAATGTTAAACTATGATTATATGCATTTTTATTGTAAGATTGGCAAAATTCAAAGACAGATCTCTGTGTATACAGGATCATTAATTCTAATGAGCTATCTGTTCATGGCAATACATAAAATTTTCATACTTTATTTCTATTAATTTTCCGAGAAACCAAATTTGTACCAATCAGAAAAAAAAAGTCGAAAGACGATTAAATGAATTTTCAATGAAGTCAAGATAAGATAGACCTAGTCAATTTTCTTAGCTGTAAATCATTGTGCTCAAAAACATCACTATTAGCCCTATAAAATATAAACGCATCTTTCAACGACAATTACACACAAGAATGAATATATGGCTCTATCTATAACATGAATCACCAAGAAACTGATCAACAGTAAGCAAACATTATTTTACAGTCTTCAACCAGAGTATGAGAAGTACTTTAATTAAATTTTTTCAATACTTTGTCATCATTCTTTTTTATTATTGAACATTTTTTGATATGCAATACAATACATAAGTTAGAAATATCAACAAGAAAAAAAAACTAGACTATCTTACATATCTTCTGTAGACACTCAGATCTAGTTGTAAACAATTACATACATTAAAGTTACAGTGAAAATTATGAATAACTGTATTCATCGACTTCGATATAACAAAATGAGACATGTTCTAAAGAAAATGAACAAAAAAAACAACAACATATGTTCAATTTATTTAGTGTAATGTTTATTAATCAAGTTCTCTTCAATATCGTAGAAACTTTTGCATTCTATGATTATATGAATCAGCAACATATAAATTAAGTTGACTATCAAGTTCTACTGACCAAGGTTTATTAAACAATGTAGAATTACTACCATTAACACTTGTTACTCCAGCAATTGTTATTCCTTCTGTTTGTCCATACATAAATAATTGTATTCGATGATTTTCTCTATCAGCAACATACATGTTACCCATAGGATCTAAAATCACATCTGTTGGATGATTTAATGTAGTTGCATTATTTCCGGCATTTCCATTGATGTCACCAGCGACCAGTGTCCAACTACTGTCACCTAATGGCCAACAAACAATATTATTAGCTATATGATTGACAATGATAAGATTGTTTGTGAATGAATCAAGATAAACACGAACAGGGTATTCTAATTGTGTGATACCAATTCCCAATGTACCATTGCCAGCAACCAAAGAACTTGATGATGCTCCCGATACATAACACATGATTCTATGATTTGAATAGTCTGCTATGTAAAGTGTATCGAAAGCAGAATCATATTCAATACCGTAAGGATTTCTAGATTGATTGTTTAAAACACCGTAACCACCTAAAATAAATTTTCTTATGAATTTTTCTATTTTACATTATATATATAATTCTTTAAAACCAATCTTGAGAAACTATTCAAGAAAGTAATTAAATTTAGTACTGTATGATCTTGTGAGATAGACATGACGAGAGCTAACGAATTCACCTTTTTGTTTTTGAAGACAAACTTGCCTAGAACAGTTTTTATAATATTATATCTTTCATCTCATAAGCATATATCAGATATATTCAGAATGAATAGTTTCTTATAAGATAAAGTTTATTCTAATAATATAAAATTCTAATGCTTAAATAATTTTTTAAAATAAATGATTGATAACGTGTCTTTGTAAGCTACATCATGATGTAAGAAAATGTAACGAGCATAGTCTCACTTAATAATGGATCATTTTAAATAGAACATTTTCAATAAGTTTTGAATTATAATCTAATTCTAATTGTGGCTGAGGTCAAAAGAAATATTTTGTTATCTTAGAAAATCAAAAAAAAAAGAGAATTACATAACGACTAAATCAATCATCAATTATACGAAAATAATCTCTAGAACATAATTCTTCTTGAATAGCCTTGCTAACATCATATCGAATGTCAATGAATTAAGTCAATTATTTAGTCGATCAAACGATGAAAATACATATTTATCATTCTTACTTACCAGTACTTCCAATGAGAATTCCCGTTGATGTACCATTATAGAATAAAATTCGATGATTTCCTAAATCTGCCACACGAATATTTCCATTGGAGTCAACCAGCACCTGTGAAGGAAATGCCAATTGATTTAAAGATGAAGCACGTGTTCCATTTCCACATATTGTTGTACCGTGTGAAGCACCCACTAAGTATTTTTGAATTCGATGATTATTATAATCTGCAATATATATAGTGTATTTTGATAGTCTAGTATTGCATCTACTGGTGTATTGAGTTGATCACTGACATTTCCTGATGTTCCACTAATACCTGCTACAGTAATACCTGTTTGATTCCATCGAAGTATAGCTACTCGAGCTAAAAGATAAAATAAAAAATGCAACTTTTATTTCATTGAAACAACAAAAAAATTATTTCTGAGAAAAATCATTATCTCTGTATTTAGAAAAAAAAATGAATAAATGCTTTCATAAAAAAGATACTCATTAAATCAAAAGAAATTTTTCTTTCTATCAATGATGATTAAAACCCAGGTCAAACGACCCCAGTCGGATCTCGCCAGTTCGGAATAATTTCGGTCGGATCCGGTCCTATATTTGTCGGATTCCCATCAGCCGGATTCCGGTCCGGATTTCATCGGAATTCGACGGAACGTGATAAAATCCGACCTGATCCCGCCCGGATTTCATCATGTTCCGTCGAATTCCGATGAAATCCGGACCGGAATCCGGCTGATGGGAATCCGACAAAAACATTGTCGGATCCGAGCGGTTTTTTATGAAAGATGTCGGATTCCGATGAAATCCGAGGCGGATCCGATCGTTTTCGATCGAATCTACAGGTCGGATTGAATCTCCTGGGAACAAATTGAGAAATTTTTTAATTAAATTGTCAAATATACTCGGAAGATTCATCTCCTGTAAATTTATTCATGTAAATGATTGAATACAAATGAGAACAACGAGAAATATATTCTATCTTACACGTTGTTGTTGTTTTGGACTTTGTTAACAGAACAATTAGAATTATAGTAATGATGATTGTAAACATTAAAATAGTAAAAAGCTTTTTTTTTTCAAATGAATGCATTCGAGCTGTGCAACTTGGTCCATTGAAAACTTCGGAATGGTAACATATGAAGGATGTGCTTTTATGAGTCGGATGTCTATATAAAGTCTTGTCAATATTTCACGTCCACTATCTTAATTAGATTTTTTTTTTGATAGAATGAAGCACTCTTAATAAAGTTCTATATAAGAATAAATATTATTTTTTCTTGAGAAAACAAATGTATACTAAACTTTAAGATCAATTGTTTTCGATGAATTTTAGTTTTTACAATAATTGACTGTGAATAATTCTCCATATTATCAGAGTTTGTTGATAAATTCATATATTGTTGAGAATTTTTTGTTGAATCATTAACTTTGATAAAATATGGATTAGACTATAATCACAAAAAAAAAAGAAATTTACTTATATGATAAAAAACAATAATATGTATAAAATTTTGTAATACTTACAAAATCTAAAATATTTTTTGAATGCTGTTGAAATGTTCGATTATTTCTTGTCTTTTGTACATCATCTCGATAATGATACATTTTGTAGTTAGCAATAGGTGTCTAAGAATTAAAATAGATAAAATAAGCTAATAGAAAAAATCAAAAAATATATCGAACTGAATGTAAACTTGTATATCGATTGATAGATTTATTATTTGTTGATCGAATATTAACATGAATAGTACGATTTGATGGTGTTTTTAATATTGATTGATGATGATGCTAGATAAAATCATGATAATTGAAAGAAAAAAGTGTACCTACTTGATGATGAAGTGATTGTTGACGATGAAGACATGATACTTTTATAATATTTGTTGTTTGAGTTGACAATGCATTATCTAAAATACTTCTTATTCTTTACAAATGAAGATATTGTTTTAAATAATAGCTACCGATCATTATTTTATCCATTTTTTTTTCTCCAACAATTAATAATACTTTATTATTTATTCTATTTCTTTCAGTGATCGAGCATATATCAATTATTTCACTGATATGATGATTAAATTTAAAAATAAGAATAAAATAAGTTGAATATTTATTATTTGTTACATATATTAAAAAAAAGAAACAAAACGTGTTATATGTGAAGGCTTCATATATTTGCATAATATAGTTGAGAATTTCATTGTTAGAATTAATCAAAAAGAAAATCATGTGTGTCCATTACTTCATTTTTTCTATATACTACTCAAATAAACGGTATATGTCTCTTTGTTGTTGTTTTTTTATTCAAAATTAAAATGATAGATTTTTTAACTCTATTTAGTAATGAAACTCTTGTTAGATTAGTGTGTCTTGCTACGATTGTTCTCTTGAAAAACGTCCATCAATTCTTTTTTTTTTTGCACTTGGCGATTGTTTTGATTGGCAACATAGAGAGAATTTCAATGCTCTACTGTTACATCTCAATGTATATTAAATTGATTGCAATCATTTTTTAATATATATTGATGTCAATTCTATGAATGTTGTTGGTGCTAAAAGCAAAAAAAAATATGATCCTATCTATGTGAAATAACAGAATTTTCTTCTATTTATTCACTACTGTTCAATGACAATCATGATTATCATTTATGTTTTTTAAGAAAGATATAGACGAGAAAATATTTTCTTATGTATTTCTCATCAAATTATGTCTAAACAAAAAGATGAATAGAAATGTCGAGAACAGTCACACTAATGACTGATTTTATTATGCATCGATCTAAGCTTTTGTATTAAATATAAATACTCAATGATAGTTTTACAAATTATGTGACATCTTATGTAAACATGACAATAATTATTATTAACAATATATTATAAAAAAAAAAAAAAAATGTACAGTTTAATTAATTTTTTTGTTTTGCGAAAGAAAATAAATTTCATTTATTTATTTAAAATAATTTTGATGGATCTGCTCCTTTTTTGTTGTTTTATTCTTGACATTGTTACTAAGAATGATCTTGCTTATTATCACACAATTTGTCTTTTATTGCTTTATTTCATTGAAAAGAAAAGAAAAAAAAAACTTCCAGAAATCAAAGATATTAAATCAAATGTAAATAAATTTGATGATCAATAGACTTATTTATTGTTGATTAATAATTAACATGAATTATCCGATTTCATCTTACTTTTCTTTTTTCGATCGATGAAGAAAGTTCTTCATCTTTATTACTTATAATAATTTTAATAGTAAATGATTTATAATAATAGAAATCATCATCATATCGATAGTTTACATTTACACTTAATAACCATACTTGGACATTGACAGTATTCATCATCTCACTTATAAACTATTGAGAGATATCTTAGTGAATAATCATGTCGATTTTTGAAGTGAATCGAAAGTATATATATATGACTTCTCTGACCAAGTTATTGTATCAACATAAAACAGTTGAAAAAATTTCATTAATGTAAAAGCTTTCGAAATAGAAAAAAAGTTGCCATATTGTATAAAATAGAATTAGATTTTATTTATTGATTTATTTTATTTTCGATAGATAAATATAAAACATGATTGTAATGAAAAAATCAATATACAATACCAAAATATTTCAATATTTTTTTCAATTTGAATATTAATATAGTTATGAATAATAAATCATAAATAAATTTCAGTAAAACAAATAGAACTTATTATTGAGTAATAAAAACTTGATTTTGCATCTCTTTTTTTTGTCCTTGTGCAGTTCAAAATAATCGAAGAAAAAAAAAAAAAACAAGACTTTATAATGACGAACAAAAATGATTTGCTTAGAAATGTTCTCATATGATTTTTAATCATATATATTGATATACAATAAATATGATTTAGATATAATATATTAAGAAAAAATATCTTTTTCATCAGAAATATCATAAAGAAAAAAGTTTAAATTAATCGAAAAAATTTCTTCATCATTTTAAAAATTTGAAAGTATAAATTGACAAATAAAACATAAAAATATTTTTTAAAATAAATTCGTTCATATATCTGGAAAATAGTAAATCTATGTAAAAATTGTGTTGTATACAACGAAGATACTTAGATGATATTACATCTTTTCGTTATGATTATCTTCTATGACAAGACATATCTACATTAGCTATCAAACATATAATTATACAGATGATTTTTTGAATTAAAAAATAAAACATATATAAAGTAACCTGGTTTCCTTTTTAATCTTGTATAGTGAAGATGGATATGAATGAGAATGTAGACATGGTCCACATATTCGGATTTTTTTTTGTAAACTTTTACAAAAAAATTCAATATTTCTCTTCGAATGATTAGTCAAATTTAAATATAATCGCTAACAAAATATCAATGAAATCATTTCAGAAATTTAGTTAAAAAAAATAGACTCTTGATTGTGGTTTTGATGAAGTGAAATATACTTCGATTGAAAACATCACTCGTATTATTTTGATAAAGACATTTAAACTTGTTGTCATTATATTCTATCAGAGAATAATGGTGTGTTAGAATAACTTTTCTCAACCGTTAAAAAATCCTGAAGATCACCTAATTAAATTACATATTCATGTCAAAGTGTCTCACAAGACTTTTCAATAACCATCTATAATACATTGTGAATAAAACTGCATTTATTTCATATCAATCGACTCTTTTTTGAAGGTATTATTCATTTTTATTGAAAGCGGGGAAAGAAAAGCTTCCTTGAATAGTAAGAAGTTTTAGTCATTTTTCCAAGCAGAAATATCCGTCGATCTAGTTCAAATTCATTTCGTTTATAGTAAACATGATGTCTTATTCATTCAATCCAGAGACCTTTGCAAAATTCTTGGAAGTTATCAATCTAAACAGTTATAATCTCAAAGATAGACTCATTACGGTTTGAAGAACAGTCTAGAACTAAAATAAGTTATTTACACATAATAACGCTTTTTAAGATTTTGAAAACTGAATGTTTTGCCTAAAGAAGTTCGTATTAAAGTGCAATGACGATGCAACATGTGTCATTGAATGCGTTTCATCGAGATCTATTTAACTATAAGTTCCGTGTCAGTATCTTATTTTTGAATCAAAAGGGTTTTTAAGTAATAAATGTTTCTCAATTATAAATTACAATGTCATAATCATTATCACAACTAATATGATAAGATTGTTTTTATTCTCTTGCTATCAAGTAAACATATAATACATATGTACAAGCTTACTTAATCATGCAAATAAAAGAACGAAAGAAGGTTGCTATTTCTATTGCAAAATATATTTTTAAACGCTTTTTTCTGAGGATTAAAGAGTATGCGACCGAGTAAAAGAGTATATGTCACCCATTTTTTTTCTAATTTTACCAGTGCCCTAGTTTTTAAGCGGTCAGCAAGATACCAAAAAGCTTCAACCAGTTGACATACTAGTTCTATAACGGTAAATTTCAAATTTAATCGTATTTCAATTTTAATCTCAATATATACATCTATGACATATTTTCTATTTATTATAAAC